AATATTTAAAGCAACCAACTATTCTACTGGGTATCAGTCAAATCAGTCGCACATGACGATGAGAGTACTTATTTTCACTTCATCCTACATGATACATTTTAGCTTTATGAATGTAAAAACAACTGAACGCACCCTCTCTCGGCCAAGGGCTTTGAGAGAGTTGAACCGAATAAAACGATTATAGTACATCTATTTTAAGCTCCAGCCTACAGGCGTACCTAGTAATAAAGTCGACAAAATAATAGGTATAATATTCAGGTAAAAATATACTTACGTCCCTAGTAATAAAGTAGATATTATACAATATAGAGGAGAATATTAAGTGACATGTCAAACGGACATCACGCGAATATTATATATATATATATATATATATATATATAAGTTTGTGCCTAATAAACGTAGGGATGGGACACTTATGACTGTAATTGTGATTTATTCAAAGAAAGTTTATCATAATTATCGTTTGAAAATCCCTCGTTTTAAAGTGATTTGAGAATGAATACTTTCATTCAAAACACACGCAAATTCTAGGGAATTTTAAACAACAGGCAAAACGAAATAACTTCTTATGAATAGAAATAGATTTCAAACCTGTGTCAATAGTCAAATAGTTAACAGCAAAATACTGTAACCTATTTCATTCCTATCGATAAAAAAGTCTTTATGTTGTGTTATATTTTAGTCCCCATTATTCATAGTAACGAGCATAAGTCTACATATTGAAAAATTTCCCTGTCAAAGAAAACACGATGAATACTACTTTGACCTTTTCCCACTATTTATATTTTACCATCTCTAGGTGTTGGCCTTCGATAAATCTTTTCTGAACACACACTTGTGCGGAAATATATCCGTATATATTCGCGTTATACGGCCACTGGCTGAAGAGTCGGATGACGGAGAAAATATTCTAGTTTTTCATGAAATGTTATATTACAGTTTTATTACATCGATATATTTCTATGTGCATTTTCACATCACTACAAAACTTCGCCCAATTTATTCCGACACGTAGTGCAGTAGTTTGAAAGTCAGCTCCGCTAATTAACAACTTTTTGGGTGTCATGCCACATTAAAATATGTATTATAATAACTTAATACTTCTAATGAAATCTGGAAACATTATTAAGTACCAAAACTATAAGTCTGTAGAATATTATACTACTAAAATAGGTATTGTGAAAATAAATTGAGTAGTTGGCCGTACTTTGACCTTCTGTATAAATTGATGTCGTATATTTTTTTCGTAGTATAAAACTCATAAAACCATACACCATGGCAGTGACACGTTACCCATAAAACAGTAAAGGGGAATAGATTTCAACAGTCAATTGGTTGAAAGGTTTGCTAGAAAAAAATACATATTTCCTTTTGTGAAACCACTGAGCGTTGAATTCGATCGTGTTACTCGATAAATTATGAAATTGATCATTCGCGTGTCCGTACCTCGAGTTCGGCATTTCGAGCCGGTTATATCCGGTTATGAATAACAGGCATGTGTTGGTGTCAGCTGTGTATCAATATAGTGCCTACTGATAGAAAAATACTATTGATGAAAACTTCAAAAGATCGGATATTGCTTTTCTAGGAAATTCACCAAAGGATTAAACATAGTAACCTCTTCTTAGAAAATGTATACAGGATGATTATGGTACTAAAATAAAACAACTGATAGATAATGAAAAGGGCGCATCTATTTTTGAAGAACGGATAAAATGAAACCCGTTCGAGCTACGATCGGAAGGTTGAAAAATGACGCTTGTCCTGCGGCTGACGGTCCACTCGCTACTAATTATACTAAGCTCAACGTGTATTTACTTCTGCCGAATTCTCTTCTCGATTTATCGCACCCGACCGAAACACTGCGTCATTACGTTTTTTCGCTCGATTTCGTAAATTCGGTCGTGCCCAAACACCAAATTGATTACTGTATGTACATGTGGCCTCGCGTGAAGCCGTCTGATTGAATCTATGTGCTCCTTTTGTGTCTGGGAATAAAAAGAGTTCTGTATTGTCTGCTATTTGTCTTTTATTACAAAAGTATTCTGAAAATGTTGGCCCGCTTGTTGAGCATAAGATTCGAAATTGAATAACAATGTGACTCATATTAATCGTCCCCTACACACTTAATATATAACTATCTGTATGGATAATAAGTACAAAGTCAGAGTGAAACTGTCCTATACGTGGCTGTAAAACAGTTACGATTAAGTATTAGGCATAAATACACTATGAAAAATAATAGAATTATTTCAGTGTTGGAAACTTATTGCGTTTTACCACCTACATTTTATATCTGCTGATTAAAAACTAACTGCAAATCAAAGTTGAGAATTTTATGAATTCGGGGCACATTCGGAATACCACCATCAAATTTAAATCAGTTCATAAACTATGAACCATTTTATTGAAATTTTAAGTGTATTTTATGTGAGTTTCAAAGTTCATATGAGCAATAACGAGGTAGCCTATTAAAATGAGAATGGCATTTGGCGATTGGCCCAATGTGTGCAGAACAAAGGTAGTCACTTCCTAGTCTCAATGGCAAATAAATATTCCACCTTTATCGTTTCAGTACTCAATTTAAAAATTTATTCAATTTATTCCTCATCCCCTGTCTTTCTTCTTTTATTATCTACATATTTTATGAATCTGATCAGCACGTTACTACGTTCAATAGGCTAATAAATTTTTCAGAAATAAAGTTCTCTAAAATTATGCCCACACGAATAAATAATAACACAATACTTAATTATGAATGCAAAACCCCAAAATTTTGGATACACTTATTAAAAATAAAAGCAAACAGCAAAACTTTGCTTAATACAAACTTCAAAAAACTATCCCATTAGAATGTTTATAAAGCGTAATTATTCGGGATCCATTATCAATTCTAACACGTCGGTAAACAGTTTGCATTATTAAACAGATGTTTAGACTTCATACATGAATTAATGTGCGGATAGATAAGCCTCTATAAATATAAACATGTCACTTGTAATCCCTAAAATGGTTGGGATGCGAACAGTGTATTCTGTATTAGGTAAATGCGATAACACGAGGATGTTACTAAGCAAATCTATCCGTTCAATGAATGTTTCAACGATCAATTTTTGACTAACTGAACGACTGCACGGTTGGTGCGGTGGCTGGGCAACCGACTGCCGTGCAACGTGTCGCGGGTTCGATTCCCGCACGGAACAACACTTTGTGTGATCCACAAATTGTTGTTTCGGGTCTGGGTGTCATTGTGTATGTGAACTTGTATGTTTGTAAACGCACCCACGACACAGGAGAAAATCCTAAGGTGGGGCAACGTTTTTTTTAAAAAAAAAAATTAGCTTCGATTGACGGATCAGGTCAATCGAATAGATCGTAGTGGTCCAGAGGTTAAGACAACCGCTTCTCGTACATGAGGGTGTAGGTTCCAAACGATGGCAAGTACTAATGTGACTTTTTCCGAGTCATACGTACTTTCTAAGATTAGATACCACTGACAAACGATAAAGGCAAACATCATGAAGAAACCTGGGCTTATAATTTGTAATTATAAGTTTGAAATTGTCAACCCGCAATGAGCAAGCGTGATGATTAATGCTCAAACCTTCTCCATGTGATCAGGCCTTTGGTCATAAGTGGCCACTTATAGGCTGTTGATGATGATGATAATGACGAATCAGTGTATTTTTTTATTTTAGTTGACATGTTGTTATACCATTGACTACTATACGTAGACACAATTATGAATTAAACACGTCGTAAAAGAACATTTATTTGTTTCATTTACGTCAAAATTATTGTTATGTCCCTAAAATAAATTTATTTATTTATTTATTTATTTATTTAATGCACTAATAACTAACATTACAGATACATTCCAATACGATAGTGTAGCCATCAGTCTTACTACATCTTTTAGTACTTACTTATTACCTAATTATAATTAAATTAAAACTTAACACTTATACATACCTATATACTAATACAATAAAGTTTCCCATACAAATTTAATATCTTATATGAAACACTTAAAATTATATACTCACAATTAATCATAAACGATATTTTACTTAACACCTATTCAGTATCTACTTACTTACATAATTGAAACTACAGTTCATGGTTTTAAGGATGCATAATCGATGCGTATATGTGAACCAAGTATATCGAATAAACTCATCTTATCCGACTATCGAAAGCATCCACCAACGATTGATCGTTGTCCTTTATTTTAATTGCATTCTTCCTTTAGTGGTCCCAAGAGTGATGTACTGTGAAGTATTGTTTTAAGCCACTATTCCAAATCCAGCAAAATGTTATAGAGGTTTTTAGATTAGTAAGTACTACAAGAAAATTTTTCGTTCTTTTCTACGTTTTAATTAGTAGATCTACAAAAACCTGTTGGTATCACTAAACATTGGTTTCGAAAGAGTAGGTACACACGGCTTTACATAACAAGTATAAACTGAACGTTAAATGTGCTGAAAGATGATGCGACGCGACACCAGGATAAACTGGTTTTGTATAGATTGATGCGTAGCCGTGTGTACGTTTGGTAAATCATAATGTTTTAATTTGTATACTGAATGTCGCTGTTTAAAGAGTCGCTTAACTTGAAGTCTTCTTAACTTCACAAAAACTTGATTTAATCTTTTTATAAACCTAGCTATATTGTTCCAAAAATATACAATATTTAGATCAAAGTAACCAACCAATATTGTGGACCACGAAACCGATTTTCGTTCATCGGCATATTTTAACTCTTCACGCGTATTTCTCTCTCTCTCTCTTCTATTACGTATAATAAAGTCAAATTTATATCAAACTTTATTTATCTTTTATACTTCACTACTAAAACTTTGTCAACGAACAATAGAACTTTACTCATACCTGTTCATACAAAATTTGACCACAAAATTTGTTGACTTATTTGTCGTTCAAATTCCTTATTTAAATTGATTGTATAAGCTTTACTGAATTATTTATTTTTTTCACAGCTGATAACGGAGATCAACGTGCAGTTGGCGTTGTTTCGCGACCTCCTAATCCACATTGGTCAACCACACGACTGCCCGGAGCTACGCGAACGCGTGCGTCGACTGCGCCGCGCATGCGTAGAAGCCACTAAGACTACAAGCCAACTAGTTTTACCTAATTGTAAAAAGTAAGTACAATTTGATTTTATCTTTATCTATCTTATCGGAATACCAGTATTGAAATCATAGTTTATTTTATCGTTGGCCAGTTTTCTGTTTAGAAACTGTCTTAAATTCTATAAATCTAGTTTTTAGAGTCTTGTTGTGCCTATCAGCTTGTTAAATTCCATGCAGATCGCACGCAACACGATAGAGGACAACTATTACTGTCTCCAACTAAAAATGAAATCAATGTGAAAAAGTTCAGTAAGGTGTCCCATGACGTAGTAGAAAACAAGAACAGCTCTTCTTACCTTATTCCTTAAGGAATAAATCCTTATGAAGAATGAAGGGCTAAACGCTCCTTCTGTCGACTAACTCCCCATGGTGTTCCTATGTTACCCTAACTTATAGGTACAGGCTCACTCACGCATGCTGCTCACCCTTCTCAAATACCCCGCCATGAATATCAACGGGTCCCTTGCGAACCCCATCACAGTCTCTGACGTTAAAAGAGGCTATAGGTACTGTGAGATATCTCAAACGTTATGCCTGTTGCTTCATGAGGTAGCAAAACTGTGTCAGTGGAGACGGAACGGAATTCTTATTATTGGATACGTTATTTTGTATGCAATAGGAGTCAAAATTGACTGTACGGTTAGCGCAAAGAATTCCTGGGGTGATGCACAAATTCCATTTTTTTTTTTCTTTAAAAAAAACGTTGCCCCACACTAGGATTTTCTCCTGTGTCGTGGGTGCGTTTACAAACATACAATATCACATACACATGACACCCAGACCCGGAACAACAATCTGTGGATCACACAAAGAGTTATATATTATATAATTATATTTGACCAATGTGGATTAGGAGGTCGCGAAACAACGCCAACTGCACGTTGATCTCCGTTATCAGCTGTGAAAAAAAACCTTATTCAGTAAAGCTTATAGTTACATTTCATATTCCGGGTCTAGGTGTGATGTACCTATGTATTTATAAATATCCCCATAACACAGGAGACAATACCAGTAGTAGACAATACCAATACCATACCACGTTATAAAAAAAATATATACTTAGAAGAAAATACAGTAAGTAGAATTCCAGGTCTTATTTATTTTTGCGTAATTTTAACTCGTCGAGTACCGGTTTTGTAGACACAATTATAGAACAATAGGTTGCGGTCACCGGTGACCGCTTGGTGTTTGACAGTTTAATACTCGTTTTATATTCCATTGATAATGATGAATTGATTGGCTTGTCGGTTTCTAATAAGACATTAATTCCTGCATAGAAAAGTCACTTTTTGCCGTCATTATAAAACTAGTTTGACGTAAATTTACAGTTGTACAGTTTCGCTTAAATAAAAAAGCCTACATAATTGATAAAAAGCTGCCCCCAAACGCTACATACCTGGCTGCATAACTCACAGGGGATTGTGAATTATCACGGTACCCGTTTTTATTCACAACCATATCAAAGAAATGAATTCAATTCAATATTTTATAATATGGGCCCAGCACCTTCGGGTAAAAGTGACAGGCCAAACCAGACGGTTAAAAGTAACACCAGTGCAGCAACTACTTATTCACCATTCGATTGCTTTTATTTATTAAATAACACCTTATCGATAGCTCAAAGGAAAAACCCTTATCAAAAGAACAAAGTACATTTTTATCAACGAACGTAGCATGGGTGTACCCGTCCTTCAATTTCCATTTTCATGAGTTACGATACAAGTATAAAACATAGATATATCGATAACACCTAGTTCAGCGCTCTACGAGATATGAGCCCGGTCTTATTTCATTGCACACACCGACGATAGGAATCGATCACGTAGAAGATCGATTTGAAAATTCCGATATCTCAATTTGAGAAGGGTTTAACCGTAGTTGTTTATTTATTTGCGACCACTCTGTCTCTGACAGAACGGTTGCTTTAAATCAATATTGAACGCTGGCTTAACCTCGTAATCTTATAACGTAAATATTAAATTACAGAAAATCGAAAAGAAATACAGAAAGTGATGTGAGCGACTGAATCGAATCTCCCTCGTGGCTGCGAATCGGTGTCCGCCGTTAGATTAATGCGCCGTCCTAACTAGATAAATGACCGCTCGCTTAACATAAAACAATACACCCTGTATTATTCACTTAAGCGTGCAGAAACAATTTTCACTAAATTTTCTGCTGTGTATGACGTTACAGCCGAAATATTCTTTAAAATTGTAAGTCTTTTGTTCTTGTGCGTTCAGGGATTTCCTGTAACGTCACGGTTTTGGTCCCTGGAGCTCTACCGCTCCATTATTCTGCTTTATGCTATACAAAACATTCACCTTAACTGATAAATTGTGCCTTGATCCTTCTATACAGTAAAGTAGGTACATGACACCCGCCCATTTGCATTTCAAAAGGCGGACCAATTCGCCGTCTCTGATGTCAAATCTCAAAGCGAAGTAATTACGTCACAAAAAGTTTTGCATTTCGCTGCAGAGAAGTAAATCTGTGAAACTACAACAGATGTTTTGTTGAGAGATTGATGGAGAAATATTGTGTTCCAGGGAGTTTTTGTTACAATTTAATTTATTTACTGAGCGGTCTAATAAAAGACCCGACCCGATAAAAGTTTTCTATCAATGAGTTTTATTCGTAGAATTCACGAATTAGGCAACGAGTTGAATTTATTTTTACTGTAGCCTCTGTAATATTGAATGATTGGAAATAAATTGTAACTTTGAACTCTTTGAAGTGTCGTGTAACAAAAATCTATTCAATAGATTTCGTTTCGAAATATTTATTTAGGGATCTTTGTACCTATATTTTAGTTTCGCTTCACTCGTTATATTAGGTACTAAATATTTATAAATATTACATTAGGTATTTATAAATCGTCTGTTTATGTACTTCTTTTATGTAACCGAGATAAAGATTTATATATATATCCTAGATAAAGTATTCGGCTCAACCGGAGTGAATCCACGGCGTCACAGAAAACAAACGTACAACAACGCTTGCGTTGTGTTTCGTCATGTGAATAAGGTTATCTGAGGCCCAATTACACCTCTTCCCAATCTCCCCAATCTCCCCAATCCCTGAATCCTCAACAATCCTCAAATTCCTAACCCCCAAAACGGAACTTACCCCATAAAAGAAGAAATACAAATTATTTGTAGTAATTTCTCTCTAATCTCCAATACCCACATATTACCTGCAATAGTAGAAAATTACAAAGCTATCCTATGCTATGCTAGCTATGCTTTATCCTATATAGTTTCAGATAACAGCGGCTATTTTAAGGCTTAAAGATCTCTTAGTCCAGAATTGTATTTTGGTGATAATAAAGCCTTAGATAAGTTTTTGTACTCACTAACTACTGCATTGCAAATTGTACCTACATATTATCTTTTATACACGTGTCTAAAACTCTGTAGATAGGTAATATCATTATTGCCACTGAGGTCAAATAGTATATTTAGCGTTATGTTTTACCTAAATAACTAACATCCACGCAATCAAATAAGGAATCTATTTTATTCTATAGGTATTCAAACTTTTGAATGAACTAGAAACTAACCAAATGATTCTTTTTACGCTCACCATAAACACAATAAATCTAATTTATACTTTATACGAACTTGCCTAATATCAATCTAAAATGTTTTGATCAATTTAAAGTAATCAAAATTAAATGTGAGCATCATTTTTTATTTTATGTTAATGTGTGCCAGTTATCCTCAAAATAATAAAAAAATAATCATTTAAATACACAAATATTAAAAAGTACCGCGTCCAAACTAAAAGGTTCGTGGACATTTGTATCTCACGGGTGGAGGAGAAAAGTCTCTCGTGTGCGCCATTCTTTAAGCATTTACGGTTTCAGTCACAAATGCACGGAACTACTTTTATCTTCGCATGAACGACCAAATGTGCACCAGAGGGCGCAGTAAATCATTCGCAGTTCCACAACTCGGACAAAGCACAAATATTAACAAGAAAATACCATAAAACAATGATATTACATATTTAAGTATCTCGGAAGTTATATTATTCCCATGTTTTGTACAAGAAAGTAAAGAATTCTTCTATATCCAGGTCAACGAGCGACGGGTGCGCGGAACAGCCTCAGCTGGTGCTCCTATACTTCATGGCACAACTCCTGCTTCGGGAGCTCGCTAAGTGCCACCGCCTTGTACAGCTTGTGCCAATGGATATGACCTCGTATTATGGTATGAATTATACGCCTTTCTACCCTATTCATAGTAACAATTACGTTTATAATGTTCACAACTAAAGTAGTTGATAAGTTAAGTGCAGAAAAGTCGGAACGAAAGTTATTTATTTATTTATTTATTTATTTATTTATTTATGTACACACATTCAACACAGAGGACAACACACATATAAAAACAGAGTACATAGGCCCCACATATTCCAACTGGAATCTCTTCCTGTGGGCCTGTGGCAGGAAAAGATATAATAACACTGAGACACATAGTGTGTTACACAAACAATAAAAAAAAAAATAATAATAATAATAACGAAAAAACCGATAGAAATAACAATAATAAACAACAAAACAAACTAATACAATGCTATTACTTATATAAATATACCTACATATATATATATATATAAACAAATATAAACAAACAGATCTATATTTCAGGAGGAAAGATAATGTTCTCTCACTTGTCTCTTAAAGATAGAGATTGACTTGGCATCCCGAATGTTCGGCGGGAGTGAGTTCCATAGTCTCACTGCATGAACGGAGAAGGAGTAGGAGTAGAAGTTGGTATTATGGGGCACAATTTTAAGATAGGATTTAAGATGAGAACGAGTAAGGACTTCAGGAGGACGCACCAAGGAGAAACGGTCTCGGAGATAAGTAGGATAGGCTGGGTTGAACAGGATGTTATAGAGGAGACATAATATGCGAGTGTTCCTGCGAAGACGGATTGGGAGCCACTTGAGCCTGTTACGAAATTCAGAGATATGATCGAACTTCCTAAGACCAAAGACGAAACGGATACATACATTTTGTAAACGCTCAAGTTTATTTAATAGCTCCTCTGTGGCATCCAAATAGCAAGCATCTGCATAGTCAATGAGAGGCAAGATCAGCGCCTGGACGAGGTGAATCTTAGTCGTCATCGGAAGCAGGGTCTGGAGGCGCCTCAGCGAGTGGATGGAGAAATGAACTTTCCGACTAACCTCGTTCACCTGAAAGGCCCACGACAGGTTCGAGTCGATATGCACCCCCAAGTTTTTTGCAGTATCAGTGAATGGAATGTGTGTGCCATTCAAACGTAACGGACCAAGGCCAGACACGTCGAGAGCGTTTCGATAATATCTGCTACCGATGATCATGGCCTGAGACTTGAGAGGGTTGATTTGCAGGCCAAAAGACCTAGCCCACTCGGCAACGCCATCCAAGTCACGATTCATGGCATCGATAGCAGAATGGGCCTCGGACAAGCCAAAGTGGCGATATAGCTGCAAATCGTCCGCATATAAATGGAAATTGGATGAAATGACCTTGGCAACGGTATTAATAAAGATGGAGAAAAGAACAGGAGAAAGGACGCCACCCTGGGGTACCCCAGCAGCAAGGTCACACCAATCAGAAAAAGTTTCTTCAAGGCGGACCCTCTGACGGCGACCCCGAAGATAAGACTCAAACCAGGCCAGAGAGGAAGAAGAGAAATTGTTGGCCTTCAGGACCCCTAGCAGGATGTCAAAGTCCACGGAGTTAAAGGCAGAACTGAAGTCCAACAACACAAGAACAGTGAGAGATTGGTTGTCCATAGCCCAGCGAATGTCATCGGTCACTTTGAGTAAAGCTGTGACCGTGCTGTGACCAGGGCGAAATCCCGATTGAAAGGGAGAAATGAGGCAGTTTGACGTCAGGAAGGAAGTCAACTGCTTATGAACAATATGTTCCATGACCTTGGAGAGAAAAGGCAGTATGGAAATAGGTCTGTAATGTGAAAGGGTAGAAGGGTTATTTGTTTTTGGTAACGGAATAACGTGGGCAGTTTTCCAAGCAGAAGGAAAAGAGCAAGAGAATAAAGAAAAGTTGAAAATGTGAGTGAGAATAGGGAGAAGGAGGTCAAGGATGGGGATAAACATACGGGAGCATAAATCGTCACTACCCACTGCAGAGGAGTTAATGGCAAGCATGGATTTTTTTACTTCGCCCTCGGACACACTACAGAGCACAAAAGGAGAACAAGAGGGAAGCGGTAGAGAGGAAAGGTTGAGAAGAGTTTTAGTTTTTGTAAGGTTGTCAAGTGAAATAGGGGAGTGGGAGAAATGATGATTCAAGGAAATAAGATCAACATCCTTACTGACATTGACAGGAGATTTGCCGATGCCCACAGATCGCAAGAACTTCCAGGCATCAGCAGCGTTGTGGTTAGCCAGGTTGTCATCGAAGTAACGCCTCCTAGCATCCCTACACAGACGACTGCAGCGATTACGAAGATTTTTATAAGAGGAAAGATTTTCATCTGAAGACCTACGTTTCCACCTCCGCTTGGCCCTGTCTCTACGAGCCATAGCCTCTGTAATGTCAGAAGTGATCCAAGGTGCCGGATCGTGCCTAACCCTCATGCGTCGCAAAGGTGCATGTCTATCAAACAAGTCGACAATTAACGCGTTAAACAGGTTAACTTTCACATCGACATCATCAGCATCAACCACAGAACTCCAGTCAGTCAGGTTGACATCGTGCCGTAACGCCCCCAGATCCAGCCGTCCGTAACTACGTAGATTCAAGTAACGAGGTTTAGGTTTAGGAGTACGAATGCGATAAGATACATAAATAAGGTCATGGTAGGAGAAAGGAGCAGTCAGTTGACCGTGGTCATCTACATGTCCAGGGGACGACACAATCATAAGATCGAGCAAGGAAGGAGACGAGTTGGGGGGATAGTGAGTAGCTGAAAGGGGAAGTAGATGCAGGTTAAAAGATGACAATAGTGATTCGAGTTTATGTGCACGTGAATCTTGTTTGAGGAGGCAAGTATTAAAATCGCCCATGATGATAACATGCTGATAATTAAGGCATAGGTTATTGAGTTGTTGGTCGAGAGTATCAAAATAGTTAATGTGTAAGTTGGGACTATATAAGACGGCTATTAAGATCTTGTTAAGATTCATGGATATCTCGACGAACATAAACTCTGCTGACTCAGATTAAAGAGAAGGGGACGAGCGAGTTACTTCCCTGAGTTGTTTTATTGTGCACATAAAATTGAAATCGTCGCGCGGCCGGACCGAATAGGCTACAAGAATACTCTAAGACACCGCTGAAATATAAATAACCAACAAACACAATGTATCTTCATCTAAGTGTGGTCGAATATAGGTACACACTATTATTTCCCGTGGGTGTCGTAACAGCTGAATAAAGGATTACTCCTGTATTAGAAGAATGGCCGGCAACAGCCGCTTATGTATTAATAACAAGAATCGAGGGTACCCAATACATTCGACAATTTTGGATATTACCACTATTCTAGTTATTATTACTAGCAAGAAAGATTGCTCCAGTGATAACAGCAATTTAGTAGAAGACATTTGTCACGATGACGATGAAGCTAAGTCTGGGCAATAATTACCAAGCCTGATAGGCCATCTTTTAGTATTATCTCTGAGAAACCTATTTAGACGCCAAAGAAAAGTTTCGTACAGCCTAAGTATTCGGCCATCGCTTAACGACCGAGACAACCATACACAATAGCTTCTCTTAGAAAACTGTTAATTAATTATTCACCAAAGTTAAATTATATTTTTGGGTTGATCCGAGAATTTTGTAATACTGCTCGATGTTCTAACTGTTTTAGAACAAAAAAGATATTAGCATATCAAATGAAAACAAAGTTGAAAATATTTCTGAAACACTGTTGGTATTCCCGAATTATTAATTCATTTGTAACAAAAGTTTTTTCATTCGAGATGATTCAGAAGAAACGAATTCGTGGAGTATATTAGAAACAGGTGTTTATCTTCCCTCGCTTAGAGGGAACTGAGGGTAATGGGATGGCAGACAATAAGTGATTCACCTGTCGATTAGATTGAACGACCCGTTTCGGCGCCTCTTGGAGCTTTGGCTAACCAGTATTGGAAAACCCTGTATCGATATTGGTTTTTAATTCTCCACATTATGTCTGTTAACGTTTCCTGCCACACGTTTGCTTTGGTTTTCTGTCTAATTTATCACGATTAGAGTATTTACGAGGCACTTTAAGCTCTTAATTGAAAACAGCGTTTCTTAAGCGGCGTGCCACACTTTCTACCGCCGCCACTAGATTGAACAACAAAAGTACCATTTTAATAGCGTGCCGCCACGAACAATTAGTGGCAATTAATCACTGCTAAAGACACCAGCCGCTATGTTCGACTTGGTCGAATTTCGTGGGAATAATGTTTCTTATTTTCGCCGATGCGAAGTTGCTGTAGTAAAGTAACAAGATCCAAGATATATACGACACAATACCTGTGAACGTTAACAATGGCGCTCGGTCGGTATAGTGACGGTTTCGATTGTAACTATGTCGGGACTAGTACCTGCAATTGCATTGAAACTCTAGCCAAGCTTTACAGACGTTAGTACGTTCATAATCTCTCCTTTCAAAGCCTATTCAGTTAGAACTTAAAGATAATACGGACTTAGGGAATGACGTTTGGATTTCAATTTCATCTTGTTGAATGTTTGTGTGAGTATCTACTTAAATACTCACACAAATCTGTCATACTTGTTACAGATAAAGTTTTAATGAATATGGTCAAACATTAATTGATGTACTTATCAATTATAGTATTAAAGAAACAATATTTATCTTCTTTCAGATGATTGTAGTGCCTAATCGCAAAGTTCTTGTTCGAATAACAGTTTCGAAAAAGCTAAATTCATAAAACTTCGCCTTTAGTTTGTATAAATATTACAATGTGCTATACCACACTATTCGTTTTCAATCCTAGTATTGGAATTGGAATAGAATTCCAATCAAATTCGTTCGTGTTAGTTCAATATTTGATACTCAAATAACAAATTCAATTTAATATTTAACGGCTGTTACTGTAAGTGGTTTACATTAGTACAATTTTTTGAGTGCTATGCCAAAAATGTGTATATTATTATTTGTTTTTAATTATAACATGAAAATTTTAAATAATTTCGATGTGCATAAATATTAAGTGGTACCTAGTGTGTGATAATTATTAAACTAACTTACATTTCACTTAAAATCAAATCGTAATTTCGATTGTCCAATCAAAACCGTGGAACCCGCCCACCCCACCGTTTTGCATTCAGCAAGTTCAGCACATTCTATTTGTTCATACAATAACAAAAACTAAAACAAATAAAGAATACTTCAACCCAAACAATACAGTTCATTCCCGTGAACGTTGATCTCTGCAACGACAGTTACAGGGTTCAAAATGTATTATTTTTCCGCAGAGAATCGAGCCGGTCCGTCCAATTTCGGCAACGTGATAAGTCAGATCCTGCTATGCAAGCAGATCACTCCTGATTTCAACCAGGAGGAGCTCTGCAGCATCGTGAAGGATACGCAGGAGATCACCAGAATAGTTAACGATATACAGGAATATTTGCCACAGCATGAAAATCTCAATCATTTAGGTAAGAGTTATTCATCTTCTTTCCTAAGAATGTAGTCTAATGTACCTATTAATATTATCATAGTGACAATATAATTTAACTTCGTTCTCCTTGACTGTTCATATCGACATCAACGGTCAACGATGTTTTCAAGACAAAATTTGAATGTGAAAATTGACGACACAAGAGTACCTTTTAACCTCTTGTATGCAAATATATGATGCCAGTAGAAAATACGTTGTGTCTCGCGTAAATCTACGTTCGCATACTACGGGTTAATAGACGGGAAATTCTTAATTCACAGAAATGAAACAATAACATTATTTCTACTCAGAGCCATGCCCAAAACCCCATACCCCGTTTGCGTATTCTTAATTGCTCGATCAACAAAGCAGTTCAATTAAAGTTAATGATCGAATGTATTAAGCGAAAATAACGCAGTGCGTAAAAGAAACAAACACAACCATTCGACATATTTATTTAAAATTCATTGTAATATTAATTTGTTATTCCAGTAAAACAGTGCTCTCGTGAGTTTAATTTAAAATAATATGCAGATCAAATGTGAAATTACCAGTGCATTACATGGAATGGAGTTCAACCATTTATGTTGAAATGGTTGTTTTCAATTTGAAACATAATTGTGTGTAAGCAGACGTGTAGCGTAGCCATTGTTCTACCACACCTCTCAAGACAAAGCTTCACTAATGCTGTGTACTAAACAAAACAAGAACGTACTTAGCTAAAAGGATTAAGCTTTCCATCCACGAAAGACATTTGTAGAGCGATTTTTAGTCGACAAAAACGTTAACAGCTAATGAAAAAGACGCGTCCATTACCTGACCTATAAAAAGTTCGGTATAGGCAAGCAGTCTCACAAGCAACGCAACACCTTTACCGACTTCTCATTGACATTAAGAACACTCGAAGTTCGAGAAAAACCATGTACAGGAAAACCGGTATTTTATCGTTCACCGCACTGCTAAATATCTACTTACGGAATAAAGCTGTTCCCTTAAGCATAATCTATGTAGTTACAGACTATTAACGCCGCGAAAGCCCTTTCCGTGGAAGTTATGCTCACAACTGGGAAATAACACGCCTAGTCATCGCACCGCTAAATGCGAGTTTGTGTTGTGTTTTTCCACGAAAAATAATTTCAGGTTACGTTTGTATTCGTCACTCATTATAAGAAATCATGATTAAAGTTTTTGCATAATTGGCACCTTCCAATACTATTCTAACATTAAATAATGGACGTGGTTTGAATGAGTGCGTAATATACTATAAATATTGTGACGAAAAATGTATTTCGAGAGTATTGTTTGTACTTTATAATAGATTCCGGCACCTAATAGGCGATGTCAATAAATACTTAAGTAATTTACACCAGGATAAAATCTACAACGAACAAGTTACGACAAGTTTGTTATTCCTACACAGCAAATGTATTACGTGACATTCCAAACTACTTGAAACACAACTGTAACGATTCATATTTCGTAAAGGCAAACCAGCACGAGTAACTGTAGCCGTATTTTTCAGAGAGCAACATCGCGTTGAAAGGTGACGACGTGAACGGACTGTGGAGGAGCAAGCGGAGAGGATCGCTGTACAAAGGCATGGGAGTGTTGTGTTGTGTGTCGCGGCCCAACTACCTCTGAGGGTGACAAGTCTCGCCCACGCGGCGGTTCAGTCCTGAACACACGACCATCACCTCCCCGGTCTGCTAAGAAATTGACTCCAGTGCATGACAGTGAGTGACAGTGACGTACTGTGCAAAATGAATGGGTCCATTACATTGTTTAATTAGTAATCGATTAGAACTGACATGACATGTTACGGTGGGTGATTTAATCGTATTCACATATTGTAGTTCAATTATATCTAAGTAATTCAATAGGATAAGTACTGCATACATTCATGCATAGATTTAATTATTATGAATTGCCTGGAATGGGATCAATTGCGTTTAAGTAGTATGTAGTACAAATAAATAGTATTGTTTTGCACCAAAGGTCATTGCATTGATGGCTGTGTTGGTTTGATTTCCATTTGTATTATTAGGTTTAACTTTTTTACACTATTACTATCTACGATATGTTTGTTTAAGTTTTTGTTTTGAGGTAGGTTTACTTCATTTATTATGTAGTTTTCCATCCCTCACTACATTATTTATAACTAGAAAACTATCTCGTATGCTGTTAGATATTCAAAATAGCCTAATGTTTCAGTAAGTACATACTAGTCGGGTCACAGTTTACCATCTCTTTGTCGTACGAATTTGTGACTTATTTTTCTAGTCTATTTTATTTAAAAATGTAGATCTAACGTATCTTTTTCACAGTAAATGTATATAAAATAGAATTTAATTTATTGAGATATGGAACCAAGGGATTCTCTCTCATCTACATTTATTTGTATTTATTATTTGATACGTTTCTAGGTACATACATATACGATATAATACCAAATATTAGCTGATATTAGATACTTGAAGTATTGTAATAAATAATTTTAATAATGGCCTAGTCATTGTTACATGAATTAATCTTGAATATTCTAGTCAATTATTGTAATAGCATGAAATTGCTAAGTTAATTAAATTAAGCATGCTAAACAGAATTAATGACTAAATAATAGATTCATTATGTGATCCTTATCAAGGTCATAAAAGAAATTGTGAAATAATTACTATCTGCTTGCGACTTTATACAAAAAAATTAAACAAATGTAGGTACGTAAATAAAAATGTAATTTTATGAATAGTCATAACTTGAAAACGCCGGGATGACTTCGGCGGCCATTTTTGTTGTGTTTGGATGCCATTCTTAACAACAGCTTCTACCATCCTACATTATTGAAAAGTTCACTATTTATAACAGTAATAATGGCATGAACTACTACTACTTTGTACGAAGTTATTTACTATGCATATAGTTGTTAATATACTAAACATGTCATGAGCATATAAAGGTCAGCAGTATCCGCATCACAAAACAGCTAACACGTTACTTAGAGCCTGGTAGATATAAGAAGTTTCTACTTATATATACGAATAAACTCAAAAGTAAATAACTCAATACATAAATAATTTTGTACATAAACATATATATTTACCAAATACAAAACAATAATAGAAAAGCTATGTATTCACCGTATTTTGTCAAGCCTCACACCTCTCGATTTATTCTCATACAGACTTAGTTTCCAACTGTATAATAAGAATTTGATAGCTTGTACACATGTATCTTAAATCATCATTATATTAGTCAAATGTTGCCTAAATATGTCTATATTTAATACATAGTTATTCAATAAGATGTAAAACAATAAGTATGATATATATTACAAGTGGATATCTGTTATATCTACGTAAGTATAGATAATGTTTATTTGAATGTAGTGCACTGCAAACACAGGTACCTAATGAATAAATAATTTAAGTACTGTAGAGGTCACACAATTAGGTACACGATATCATTAATTTATCAAAAGGCACCAGAACACGTAGGCAAATTGTATTGTTTCATTACGTTTCTATTTCAAATTGTACTTTAATCGTATAGCCTAACGGTTCAATTTGTGTAACACTATTATATTAATCCACTTGCTAAAGTGAAGACTGTGATATACTCGTAATATAAAATTATTATTATTATAGAAGAAAATAATTATGCATTAGTAAAAACGTAATTGAATTATAAGGCAGTTTTAATTACTTTGTGAACCCAATTTAAATTTTAAGCGTTAATTTTGGATGCATAACTCGTTATAAGGCTTAGCATACTCGTAGTGGCGTGAGCGACCATTTTCGTGTACATACGGACGTATTAACTAAGCTTAGTGCTGCCATCTAATCCTTTAAACTCTTTGAATGGCGCAAAAGCACATTTTTACCACAATACCTGTATAAAACGTATTCATGCGGTGTATTTACAGGAAAATGCCATTGATGCAGTTCTACGACTTCTCTTGTGTTGTTTTTTATTTACATTTTGTCATTAGTCAAGACACTGCACTGATGTGTTTAGAACAACGATTTGCACATTAACTATTCGCATAAGTATTTGCTACGTCAGCGAAATTAATTTAAAGTCATAATTGTGCATTTCGCTTTGCACAAGCCAACATAAATTCGCTTTCTCTTGGCATCAAATTCAGATAAAAAGATTAAAATATTATTTTTGTATCTGTACGTTTGTAGCTGTTGAAATATTTCAACTATCATAGATCTACATAATAATACAACAACTATCGCACACAACATCGCGTACCGCGCGCGCCTCAAAGAGCCATCAGACCACCACGGATGGGGTCCAACAGGGCTGATGCCGATTCGGAGTCGCGGAGAACCTAACGGGTTACCGGGGCTTCAGCTCGAAGCGCAGAAGAAGGAACGGGGTGGTTTTTATTAACTGTGAGTCTGACACTTCCTCCCACCTCACCCAGGCGGGAGCAGTAATTCGATGATTTTTCCCCCCTTAAAAAAAATCGCACACAATACACAACTACAAATGACGTATTTAACAATTCAAAAACATGATCACTTTCAACCATTCAATAGTAGAGTCAACAAACCATAGAAAAAAACGTAATTAATTAAGAAAATAAATGGCGTTGATTTTAAACAGCTACATTGCTAGGGATTGCTTGGAAATAGCACCTCGTTACCCCTGAATACCTACAACCTCGTATTGGCCTCACCAAGATTGACAGGAAATAAACATCTTAACTCACGACCTTTGCACTTGGTTTCGTTGAAAGATATTTCAAACTGAAAATTGAATGTTATTTTCACTTTTTGTATTCTGACCTTGAGTCAAATAGGAAACGCTTTAATCATCTATTTCTTGTGTTTGTTTTATTAATGTGTATTTAATAAATAGCATGTTCTTTAGTAATTTGTCAGAGCCGGTGTTTCCTGAAGGGACAATCTAAGTGTCTTTAAGTCTCAAGTGAACAGGTTGTAGGCCACATCATCGCTTGCCATCAGGCGAAATAGTGGCTGTCTACGTTTTACCAATAAAAACTCAACGTAATGAATTGATATAAAATAGAATTCTATATTTTCATGTTGCGTTGCGTAACATGCTACACGTAAACCACCACAATGACGTTGCACTCTGCCTCATAACATTGGACATTTATTTTATTCAAAGCACTGTTGCAAACCAACATATGTAAATGGTACATTACACATGTTCTGCAACAAGTCCGGAACATTCCCAATCTGTCCTCCAGCGAATCCAAATCTTCCTCGTTTATATATTATTCCACGTTTCCATACCCGACGTGCATCGTATATTTTCGGAAACATTCGGCGAAATTGCGGTAAGTTCATTAAATTTTATTTGAACAATTCCATCCATTGTTTTGATTAAAAAATGTTTATATTTAACACACGCGTTGGAATTGAAATTGGGAACTGCATTCGAATATTTTGATTACATAAAACTACATTCCACTATTTACCTACATACCTACTATGACCTACATAATATGGTTTCTATTTAATATGCTTGTATTTTTGTACTTCCTTATACACAGGTAAATATTTGTTCATCTAATTTATAGATTACTTAATGTTGATATCGTTACGTCACTGATATAAATAAATATTCATTTAATTAAATCGATTACGTATAAGCGTACATTTTTCATGTCACACTTTTTATTTTAATACCATCCCTACGCATGTATGTAGTATGTAAAAAAATTATTTTTGGTTTCACGCCCGCATCGACAATTTCTAATTCAATATGCGTAGTTTATTTATAGAATTCCTATATATCCACGAATATAACTCGATTTTTTATCCACGAATGATTTTATTTACAAATAGATTTTATCCCAAACCTAACTTGGTGCTAAAAATTTATTTACGTCACTAAAATAACAATATTGTACAGGCATATCAATTCTTTATTTTCTACAAAAACAGATAAGCTGCAATAGAAATTAGTTCGTATAATATACGGTACATAAAAATATAATTGATTTAATTCGCTATGGAACTAAATGTATATTTATTCTTCTTTCTCGTATATGTCTCCTCTATGTCTAATGTAAGGTATAGCTGTTCGTACGCTATTTCGGTTTGACCTTTTCTGATTATACTCATCACCCGCAGAATCCCTTCGAGCACGCATCCCTTGAAACAAAAAAAAATTATTTAAAAAATATATCTAAGACAAACATATGGTTTCATTCTCATCTAATAAAAATCGTTCATAATTTATATTCCACATTTGCATCGTAGATCAAAGTGACAGTAAATTTTATTCAAATGAGTATGTTTTCTTTGCTTACAAAGAATTTATTAATACTGACTGTCATGTGAAAATGAGCAACTTGTAGATGTGAACTCGCAATGTGCAGGATCGACGAGTGAGTTATAGTTTAAAGCATAAATACGCTAACGGAAAAAATGGCTCTATCAGTTTTGATGGTAGTCATACTTACTTTCTTTAGATTGCCTGTTTCTTCTTTGTATGTGATTTTCAGCTTGACGGTTGTTTTTTGATGTTAGCGATGATACGGATAGTATCTTCGAAATTCTATATAAAAAAATAATGTATACAATTAGGGTTAAAATCTTCATTCCTAAGTTTCTGAGTGCTATTATTTTTCAAAAGTGAAGAAGAATAGCAAATCTGTCTCCGAAAGCAGAAATCCCAATTTTTATAGAAGAAAGCAACAACATTGGAAAAAGTGAAATGGCGATTTTTATACTTTAAGCAATTGTCAAGTATAGACTATGACAGTATTTATTTCGTCAAGTATAGTACTTACAGATCATTTAACGACTTTTTATTCCCGTTCTTTCGAACTGCTTGCGGATTCAAAACTACAACAACTTTTGAATAATCTTCTAAACGAGCGGGTTTCTTATTTTTAACTCTTCTTTTAAATTTATCCCCTTTCGAATAATATGCTACACGATCAGGTTGAATACCATTTAATAAATAGTCTTTACTCTTTTCTTTGATTTCATCTTCTTTTAACCCTCTGGAAAGCAATTGCTCAATAACAAGATTTTGAAGAATATTTCTCTGAAGTATTTCTCGATTATCATTACGATTTTCATAAGTGTTCAGATCACGATTGGTTTTTTCCTTTCGATAAATACGGTGATTGTTATTCCGAGATTTACTTTTCTTCTGATTAACCACTGATTCTATTAAATCAATTACTTTTTGTTTTGTCAGTCTTGCGTTGCGATTATCAAACTTGTCACTATCGGTCTTATCATCCAAATAATCAACTAAATCGTCAATTAAACTGTCGGAATCCGAGTCAGATTTATTTTTTTGCAGCCGATTAGCAGCCTTTGCAATATTTTCTTGCTTAAAATGTTCTAAAATGTTATTTATGTCTAAGACTTGAGACGGAGCGCTATCTACTATTTGTAGTGGTCCAATTACTGCTATCATAGCTGTAAAAATGTAATTACATCTAGAAAAACAGTTTAAGTGTGATATACTATGTTAATTAGTTAATCAATTTAACATACCAATACATGTAACAACTTACCTAGAAACAGTATCATGATACTCGACATAATCAGCAGTGCTCAGTCCAAACTCAGGAAAAAATACATTTGAATTGTTATCAAACAAGTGGACTACCTGTGTATAAATTTACACGGCAATTTCCAATTTTCATTACCTCTTATCGCGTTCGGAATCACATATTTATGAAATCCGTAGCACTTTGGTAGGAACACGCGATCGACATAATCCTCAATGTTACCCCTGAATAGTTATTGATAATAATCTAAACGCTTTACCGAATCCATAAAGCATTAAGAAGATTTATTCGTGAGAGCAGGCCTCGTTTTGTTGACTTGGTATTCGGTGAGTCCGGTGCTCTCGTACAGTTAAATAATTTTCTTTCATCTCACGGAACTGTCTGCATTGCAGACATTTTACTTTAAATAAAAGAAACTATATTGTTCACTCGAGAACAGCACTAAATAAAAGTTATGTGCTTGAGTGAGTTGGTACGAATTAAAATTCAAGAGAAGATTGCCGCGCATGCATCTAAAATGGCCGACTCAAGCTATGAAATGTGTTTTAGTTTTCATTTCTTTTAGGATTACAAAAGAATAAGAACGTGCCGAATAATTTATTCTTTCTAGGAGTATCATGTATTGTCAGTCGTAAATGTAACGTTATAAGATTTAGAGGGATCGTATTTTGACGTACGGGTACTTTGTTAAAGTTTCGTATGCAAAGTAAAACAAGGGAAAGGAGCGAAGCGTGGCGCCTTGCGTGTTTGTATAATGGGTTTTAGGTAATTTGACCTAACGGGCCTTTGGCATGGAAAACTTGGTTAAAATTAATTATACATTCGAATATTACGTATACGTCTTGGTGTAAAAGTATGACGAATATATTGTATTAATATTATCATTTTTCTTGTGCCAATGAAAGTTCAAGAAACTTAAAACCAAATAATGTAAGAATTTTATTAGAACAATTCATTAAACCTTCATCATAACTTGAGGTCTGTTAAACATATCCGAGCTTTTGGGTCAGAAGTCCCAAGTTTGTAACAAACGTCGTCATTTTTGGGATAAGTCCCTGATTGGCTTGTGCGTAAGCGAGTCACTTAAGTCAGTAGAGTATTAGAGCAAGGCCCTGTCTTGCACATGCTGTACT